CGAGCTTTCCGATGGCGTAAGTGATGCCGTCGTAGAACGTAAAACCGATGCTACGGAGTGGACGGTTTACTGCGTTTGGAAGTTTGCCGTATCTCTCATTGCTGACGTTGTGTGGTACGGAATGGTCGGATGATAGCTGTATGGGCCACTTACTGTCCCTATTGCAGTGTGTGCATCAAAACGTGGGGATTATTGATCCAAATTTTCATAATTTTCGTGAAAGAGAAGACCAATTGCGAGTCATAGCCAGCGGTGGCCCTTCAACTCTTCCAATGAGTTAGTTTTGATAGCGTTACATGCTGACAGCAACCATTGGTGCGGAATTGTGTTTGTCTTTGGACCTGGAAGCCGATCCATCACGATATTTGACCCACTCCAAGCGGGGAAATCAAAGTACTACAACATGTATGACTAAGTCCTCAAAGATCTATTTGGCGAAATGTGCGCTACGATGGAGATCACGAAGGAAACCAGATCTCAACAACAGGATCTAGCGAGCTGCGGTGTGATGGTGACCATGTTCTTTGACTGTTTCATCCGTGGAACCCCTATGCCACCAAAACCCAGTCCAGCTTTTCTCCGATGTCTCTGCCATCGTTATCTACTGAAGTGCATTCCATAGCCCACTACCTAAATGGCCAATAAAGAGACTTGTCCTTCTGATAACCTCGTGCTTAAAGCTAGCTACTGTTAGTTTCAATATCGTATCGACAGTAAGGTATTCATTGACAACTCAAGCCTATGGACTAGACTTCCTAAGCTCTGAAACTCACCAAGTCAATTGTACATTCAAGCAACAGCAACATCTGCGTACACCCTTCCTGTAACATCTACTGAACCAAGCCACCTGAGCCACTCATCAAAAAAAAATCTCGAAGCTTACTGAAATATTGAAAATCTATTTGAATAGAATACCCCCTTTAAATGTCATCGGTACCGATAGTACTCTTCTCAGTGCCAATTTGTATCTGGCTGTCGAGTGCCTATAGGAACACCCACCGGGTACCCCGATGGAAGTCGGCTATATGCAGTCCACTCAGTGCCTCCAGGTCCTTACGTCTACCGCATGAAACATCAGCGTGTCAAGTATGGCAAACACGCGCAAGGTGTTGACCATTGAGTGTCATCGTGTTCTGGCTGTTTGTGGCAACGTAAGAGCGTTTTCTTCTCGTAGTTCTCTTCCAGATGGCTTCCGAAGCCCACAGGCAGTTGCCGACGCTGTTGCAGCTGCTCTAGCGGCCGAGAACGATGCTAGAATCTGGAATTTTTAGGAGACTCGCTGCTGGGTGCTGCAGCGGCGGGATACGTGTATCAGATGCTGCCACGACACCAAGAAGGCCAGCTATCACGTGCTAAGTCGGCGCTGGTGAATAACGACACACTTTCGAAGATCAGTGCGGATTTGAGCATTACAGATCTACTGCTTTGGCCGCCGGGATTCAGTGAGGCTAGTGGTGCACCGCTTGTTGTCAAAGAACGAACTACCATTGCTGCAGGCGCCGTGGAATCACTAATTGCAGCGATTTATCTCGATCAGGCACTAGAAGATGCGGTTGGTTGAGGTTGGATGTTTTAATGACGACTTTATTGCAGGGTATGGAGACAGCGATGAACTTTGTGGCTACCCACATCTTTCCTCGCTCGGTTGAGTATGCCACTCGCGCACTCGCGACGTCATTTGGGAGCCTATTGTCGAGTTGCAAAACATGTTGCAGGGACACTACTACGGCCAACCAGTCTACAAGTATGTATACTTGAGACGAGTGGGGTGAAATATGATACTGACCTCCAGTGCGTTTGTT